CTGCATTGCAGCTTGTGGTCTGAGGTTTCCGATTTCAGGGTAGTGGGGTAGATTTCATGTCCCGGCTTACTGACACATGGCAAACCTGTAACCTTCGGAACCTGAAGTACTATGCTCACGCATCTAGACCAACGAGCTTGACCCCCACAACCCAACATGCACCTGAAACACTGAACTCCTCAAGTCAGAGCTGCAATTCTCGGGCAACTCTACACCGCAACGTTTTGGAGCCCCCCACCTCTAATCTCTAAGCGGCAGAAGCTGCGCTTCAAAGACACTAGACTGACCGGAGGTTTAGGGCCCAGCGTTGAAGTTTCGGCTCGGCTTGTAAAGCAAACTCTATATGTGCGGTAGACCAGAAAACAACAACGCGGTGGATGCACCAGAATATTTGTGGAGTGATTCACCTATAGTGACTACAACCCTTCCAGGCTTCTAAAGGGTTTGTCGAAGCTCCCGGCTGCTCCGCGGTCTCACTCATATCATATCTCATAATATATCTCATATTAGATCTCATATTATATCTTATATTATATCTTATATTATATCTTATACTATATCTTATATTATATCTTATATTATGTCTTGTCTTATCTTATATTATATATTTAATTTTATATTATACCCCTCCCCACCAGCTCCACAAAGTTCTTGACGGACAAGCGTCCGGTATCCTGAGTTCATGGTTGGGTGATCTTAGCAACATGGTGATTCATGAATACTGCTTCGTGGTACCTATCCGCACGCATACATACGCGCACACAGACGCACATACACATATAAACATATGGATACATAGGTACATGCAAGCATCGATTAGCATCGATGCCTACATGCACGCATACAGACATTACACGCCTACATTACATACATACGCTACACACACACAGATGCACGAGTACATGTACATGCTACATACATTAAAAACATACATTGAAAGTTCACTACATACAAACATGCATGCATGCACACCTGCAGAAGTGCCTACATACATTGACATACATGCATCTGCACATACGTGTCATAGATATATATATATATATGTTAATGAAGATGTAAGTGTGCATATAGATACATATACATGTACATCTACATATACATATAAAGTATTGCACATATGCATACATAAATACATACATACATACATACATACATACATACATACATACATACGTACATACATACCTACCTACCTACCTACCTACCTACCTACATACATACATACATACATACATACATACATACATATATACATTACACACATACATACATACATACATACATACATACATACATACAGACATACATACATACATACATACATACATACATACATACATGCACACATGCATGAAATTCATGTATGTGCGTGCATATCTTCGCGAATGCCTGTAAATTATATTCGCGTGCATGTGTCGCTGAAACTTTTATGCCTTCCTATATGCTCAGAGAAGGAGAAAGAGAGAGAGAGAGAGAGAGAGAGAGCGACAGAGAGAGAGAGAGAGAACGAGAATGAGTGGGAGTGGGAGTGAGAGTGAGAGTGGGAGGGAGAGTGATAGTCAGAGCGAGCGGACGGGCTGACATATTAGGCTGCAGGAGAATCGGCGGTTTTTCATCTTAATGGGCTCCGGGGACTGCGGTCTGCCAGGGAGCACTGCTGGGGTTAGTGACAGTTTACGGTTTACAACACTTATTAGTAGATGGTTGTGGGATTGAAGGTTGAAGGCTTCAGGGCTTGGGTTTCTCAAGCTGCACATGCGTCGCCTTATGCAGCTAAGACCTTCCCTGCAGACTGGGATGCCTGTGGAGAGTGGGACGGCTCTGAAGGACCAGGTTTGAAGCGCTTCTGATCCGACAAATGTGACCGTACCAAGCTTCAACGGCTTCTGGGCTGAGGGCCTGGTGTTTGGAAGAGGCCGGCAGATACATGTAAACTTAGCCGGAGAGTAGTCCACCGCATGGGGATTACCCACGGTCGCACCACAGGCTCCACAGGGCTCTGGACAACTGAGCTGCCGGCAAGAGGATCCAGTGCTCGACAAACCCGCAACAACGCTGCCTGAAGATGCTTTGGAGCTCAGGCTCGAAGGGTTTCTCAGGATCGTGGAAGAGATGGGTGTTGGGTTGTAGGTTTGGAAGCAAGACGAAAGCTGCTGCGGCAAGAGCCCATGAACACCAAATCACAAAGCCGCGAGTGCTGCGATCTCTGATCCCAAACGTTCTTTACGAGGTCTGGCAAAAGCACACATCCTAGCTGAAGAATAGTTTGTACTAGACTTACTAGACGACACAAAGGCACTGAAGTAAGGAACAGCTATGGGGCAGATTACACAAATCTGTTGGTCATAGTAATGTACTCGAAAAATCGATGGCAGCCATCGATGGCAGCAGCCTCTGCATCTAGAAAATATTGGCGATGTTATGGAATAGGTAGAGGTCCTACCCCTAAACCCAAAGCCTGGGCCCTGAATGCAGAGATCTTGACCCTCAGACCCACCAATTGCAGCCTTTCAGGGACCTGTAGATGGCTATATCTGAGTAAGTATGCAAGGGTTGTAAAGTCACCACGAGTATATTTGCTCAGGCTCCTGTAAGCTTGCCTCCCAACCGTCTGCCTGCTGGTAACGATACAAGCCTTGCAGCCGTGAAAGCGAGGAATCAAGAAATCAAAACCTCGCAACTCAGGCTGGGATTTAGGAATTCGGTTTAGAATTAAAAGGCTTGCGAGCCACACAACCTCACCCCCATGTAAACAACAAATCCTTACAAGCCTAAGTCAATCCAAAGGCTTGGGATGTCGGGCACATATGGGAGTTTCCGAAAATTGGGGGTACCTTATTTTGGGGTCCTTATAATACGGATCCTACTATTTAGGGTACTACATTAGGGTTCCCTATTTTCGGAAACCCCCATATCGGAACCCCCGAAATGACCCCCAAAAGCCTTGTGCACCATGAGCGTGGCGGGAACCACGCCCGTAAGCGCCGGAAACTTGGGAAGCTCCGGCCTGCACTAAGGAAGATGCGATCAGATCTGGACAAAAAAGGTGTGAGTAGGACCTAGGATGTGTTGTTAAAAAAAAACCATACTGGCTTTTCTCAACAGAGCTGCTTTTCTTTGCGAGTTTTGTCTGTCACGCTGTAGTTCTCGGGGCTGCAGGCTTTTGGAGCCTTGGTGCCGGATTTAACGAGATGTCGAGGCTGAGGGTAGTTCTTAGTGTGGGATGTACGAGTAAGAGGATTGGCGATCCGGCCTTCACCTGAGAAGTCTTAAGTCTAGGAGAAGGCTTCAAGACTTCAAGACTACAAACCTCAAGCCTAAGGCTCAGCGCCCGGGCAATTCTCAAGCACCGCAAGAATCGTGAACCCCGAAGCACACGCCGCCGAACTTCTGACATCCTAAACCAAAAAGACAGCCACAAAGCGGGCGTTCGGCTAAGCCTTTCCGATCGCTCGTCCATGGCCAGGAGCAGCTCCTGCAGACCCCCCGCGCTGAGCGGTTAGGTGACAGAAGTTCTGGGTGATGTAGGGGCCTTAATAATTAGACTAGTAATAAGGTTTTCGGTCCTTGTACTAATAGTAAACTTAGAAATTTAGGTCTTGATGTATCGGCATCGAAAGGTGCAGGGCTCCATTCTTAGCGGCCCAGAGCTTCGGTGCTTCAATGTGTCAAAGGGATGAGCGCGCCCCCTGAAACTGAGACTGAAATCCTGGTTCAAGAGGAGGCTCGAGAGGTAGACTGCAGCTTTGGGGAGCATTTTGCTTCGGGACTTACTTACTTATTCGCTTACTTACTCACTTACTTACCCGATCTCTCTATCTCTCTATCTATCTGTCTATCTGTCTATCTATCTATCAAACCACTCAACATGTCTGTCTGGCTATCGATCTATCTCTCCATCTATGCATCTGCCTGCCTGTGTACGTGTATATATATATATATACATATGTATGCATTTAAAAAAATACTATATATATATATGCGAAAACATGACCTCTACCTCTTGCAGCACCATACTCTGACTGTCAGCCGAACGACTAGTGCCGTGCGACTACACCTCAGGCCCTTCAGGAAACGGTCCAGAAAAGAGACCGTCCCGGACTGGTTGCTGTCGATGGCCTCGCTTCATGTCGTGGTGGGAGGCGAGAGCACGATAAACCATATACAACATCCCAATTTGCTTTATATCCTCATTATGACGCCCCCCCCCCCTTCGCCCACAAAGTCTAGTCTAAGGATTTCACCTGCCAAACCTGTGACACTACAGAGGTGGTACCTTGTCTTGTCAGGTTCACCTGAACCAAGGGAGAACAGGTCTTGTCAACATTATCAATGCTCAGGAATGCGTTAGTTGCGTGAAGGAAAGATGATGCAGGAACAGTGCGACTCCTCCACAAGGGCTACTAATTAGACTCCGGGTTGATATTGTTGGTATCAGAAGCTCGGGCACCCGAAGCTTCTATCCTCGCAGGCTAAACTTGCTGCAATCTGGGATTCAGGGTCAAGAGGGCTGATTTGAAGGCTCATGGTCAGTTGTCAGTAGGAGTATGGGATCCTTAATTGGGGCAATAAGCCAGCGTGGATCCAGCTGCCTACACCTGGCCTTACCTGTAGCTCCCATGAACCCTATCCGAGCTTCTATGATCCTTCAAACACCACACCATAAGCAGTAGAGTTAATTAAACACGTACTCAACCGCTCAGGGTTGAACTACGAGTATATAAGATCTTGGAAATCGCTCAATCCGGCTCGAAAGCCGCACACGAACACGGGAACTGAACCAACATGAACATAGATCACGATCACACCTCACCCTGGATCTCTCGATCTTTCAGCTCGCAGCTCACGTCATCTTCATCTCAAAACAAGTGCACAGAAGCGACCGAGCACCGTGTCGCTTTGTTCGCGGCAGAGCAGTAGGATTTGTCCTCATACAACAAGTTCAAGCTACTTATGCGGGTCCGACCTCTCCGGTCAACGCATGGCAGTGCTGCAAACCGTCAATGCAAGAGCTCGTCGCGCAACTCTTGCAACAACGCTCCCAGTCTGTTGCGTCCCTTTCCATCAAAGCCGGCTCCCCAGTAGGCGTCCGACTTCACCGAGACCAACGGGTGGGGATGTGTACTTTTCAAAAGCTGACGGAGGCCATCGTGTTCAAACTTTGCACGAAGGACGTCGCGCATGACACTCTCTTTCATACCTTCCCAATCCGGCGGAAGTGTCGCACCCCTGCCCATGCGAAAAGCCTGTTGCGGGGTGGCCTCTGCAAAAGCGGGCGCCTTGTCTTTGAAGGCCTCCGAATTCCTGTCACCGAACTTGTGCCTTGGCGGCCCAGAATGTTGAGAACCAGTGAAACTAACCAAGTCCACATCCCTGGTTCCATCATGGAATTGTATTTTAGGCCCAGGGGCCTAGGCTTTGGGAGGGCCGGGGGGGAATGGGGGTTCTCCTGAATGTGACAACCTAAACCCTAAACCCTAAACCCTAAACCCTAAACCCTAAACCCTAAAGCCATGGTTTTGTTGAATTCACTCGCATCTTCGGCCCCAGGCCCCCAAGCCTTCGTATAAAATTCAAAACTTGCAGCCCTGCACACTTAGCAGAACCTCTCGACATCAAGAATCATCCCTCAAGCATGAACCATCGGCCCTGAAACTCTGAACCCGAAACGCTAAACTCGTCTCTTAGCACGATGAAACCTTACACGCCTAACTCGCAGGATTGGAAGTGCCCTGGCAAGGTCTGAACTACACAACCAGCCTAGAGTGGGTTGTCACAAGCCACAGTCTTAAGTCAGATTTCGGGGTTTGGGTTTGCGTCCATTTCGGAGACACGCTCAGAGTTGGTCAAACACCGGAAACCGAAACCCGAAATCTGGGAGACTGCACCGTGTATGCTTTGAGTGTCTATTGGCTCGGGCTTTTGGAAGCTTAGGCTTAGGCAGCCGTGGTGCAGTTGAAACAGCTGCTCTGGCCCTTTAAATCGCAGGCCATTGAAATCTAAGCCTGGCTCCTCAAAGGCCCAGGTGGAGTGAACATTCTCCTGGGCGGTTTGCCGTTTCGGGCTTCGGGACTGTGGGTCAGTGCCTCGGGGGCTATAGTTTAATCACAAGAAGGGTGGGAGGGGATGAACGTCGCATTCGATTCAGCCAAGGTGCGAACTCCGTACACCATAGGTATGCCCCAAATGCTACCTTCGCGTGCACGCTTTATTCTCGGGCCGTGCCCTATCGCATCTCCATCTCGGACTAACTCATGTCAGCACGACGGGGGAAGCCCCAAGACCGGCCTCTGCCGTGTCGATACCACTGGACGAAAGGCCCAATGCCTCGAGTTTTGCAGAATTGAGGGTATGTTGTGGCTAGTTCGGGGGTCTAGGAAACTTTGGAATTGAAGGCTGAAGGTTTCAAACTTTGGGATTCAGGAGTAGCGTTGTCCTCTTGGGACTTGCTTCAGTCTCAGGTTTTGGGAACACTGTCGAAGTGCTTGGCAGGGATGATTATAATACCTTTGTTTCTTGAGGCTCCAACCATGAGCTTCTTGCGTCCGGAAAGTTCCATCCAAAAGCCGGATGCGGAACCAGCCTTACAGCCTCCATCCTCCCGATGTCATTGCATCACTGAACACGGCAACAGAAACAGCGCGAAGAAAGTGACGCAACATCAACTCCCAAAGCTCTGACCCAGGCAAGCTCAAGCCTTTCATTTTGCACCGTGGAATGGGGAAGTCTGCTACGCCCGCCGCCACAGCCACCTCTGAGTTTCTTATGGCCAGGGCGCAGCAGCAACCCTGCGGTGAGGGACGTAGCATCCGAGCTTGCCGTCGGCACGGTCCTCGCCCATCTCTGGGCTTCTGCCCCATCGCCCCATCGTACTTCTTAAGTGTCTGCACTTCAGCACTCATAGAACAACGCTGCCGCCGGGCTCGGAGCCGAAAGCCCCTGAATCCCTCAACCCATTGCTTTGAGCAATTTGTCCTGAAGGCCGCCGGCAGCTTCAACGGCTTCCTCTCGTCGACTCTCACGGGAATTACACTGCTTCCTTGGGCCTTTTTCGGGCTTTTAAACAAAAGAACTATTAAACTCTCAACTGCGCAGGCAACTATGGCCAGTGGTATTTCTGTTTGTGCTGGAAAGGTTCGCTTATGTAAGTTTAGGTGAAGGTTGCCTGCACTTGAGGGCAGGTCCCGGATTAAGCTTTGGATCTCGGGTGGAGGCTGGCGACGGGATACCAGTTTTAGGGTTTAGGGTTTAGGGTCTACTTTAGGGCGTAAAGAGTGTTCGCCGCTTGGAAGTTGGAACTTCTCCACCCTCGAGAATGACTCCAACACTCTGCCTTGCCAGACCCTGGATCGAGGCTCCCTTGAGACTGGGCTTTCGAATGTGGGCTATGGTTCAACAAAGGGTCCTGTTTCATTCGACAGGAAGACTACGAATGACACCTAATGCAAAATCTCACGGACCCGACGGGTGAGAAGCTTCAGAGATCAGAGTTCAAGGAGATGTTCAAGTGTGCGTCCTTCAGGATCTCAGAAGTATCCACGACGGACGCCTGTCCAGGGGAGAGGTAATACCTCGGTCAGCTCCCCGCAGTGCTCGGGCTTGGGCTTTGTAGGCTTGCGCATTGGTTGATCTGGAGCAGGGGATAGAAAGGTACAATCGGTGATTGAACTCCCCCACCCGGCAAGGCGCTTCCTCAGCAGCTCGTGCAAAAGGCCTTTCTTCTTCGGATATTAATCGAGTTCAAGCAAAGCCGCTTTGCAAACACTACCTGAGACCCCGTATTGCCCTCGGCTTGCCATGATGCATAGGCTGCTCGAGCACAGCTGGAGCAAAGGCACAAAGTGAGAGCGATTCTGCAGAGAACGCGGCCATCTCGAGAACTTTTCACGGACTTGGGGAGTGCGTGTTCTTCTTAGCCAGGGATCCATGCTTACGGCCTTACGGCCTGACGACGAATAGGAACTGTTCCGGCGTCAGGATCGCAGATATGCTTTTACGACTCGGGACATGGTGACTAAGCTTCTGAGTTCCACCGCATCAACCTTCGACACTAACTTTCAAACCCTAAACCCGAAGCGTCTTTCCTCTTGAGCCTTGCTGCGCTGAAATTGGAGACTCGTGAAGTGGTGGTGTGATGAGTTTTTCTGATTCGGGCTTTAGAGTTAGGGGGTTAAGGGTGCGATGTGATGGATGCTTGTGGGGGTTGAGGGCATTGCGTGCCAGATGATAGATGCTGCAGGGGGCGGGTTGTGGGTTTACGATCACAGTGACCGCAAAGTCTGCGGGTGCAGCAGATGAGGCTCTCAAAACCTGTTGAGAGTAATATAGGGGCATTAATAATTGGAATAGGGTTGCGGGGCCCATTATACTATAATTATAATAAGCAACCCCCCCAAAATATTATAGGTAATTATTTAGGCCCCTGACTCTGGTGACCACAAGGCCGGGAATCGCTTATTCGAAGCCCCTGAATCGAAAATCTGACGCCCTAACCAGCATCAGCACTGCTGAGAGTTCAACCGCCGCCCTCAGCCCTGCACAACAAACCCTAGGGCCTTACAGCCGTCAATCCCAAATTGAGCTCCAAACGAAGCAAGAAACTGAGAACTAAAGGCCCAAAGATCCTACTAAAGGCCTGATGAACATCTAGCCAGTCAATTCTGTACTGAATTCGCGGTTTGTGTGGAGGCTTTTGTTTACGCTTCAGGGTCTACGTTTCCGTATCTCATAAGAACCCTCATGCGCTGAACAGACCCAACGTCTTCATTGAGTGTATCGACCCTTGTCCCGTTGTGAGCTGTAAGTTCGGCCTCAAAGAGCTGGTAGAGGCGTCCAGCGTGTAGCAGTGGCACCTAACTAGACCAGGGATGCACATAAAAAGGCTTCAGCCGAATCTTGGGGCTTCTCGAGTTTGGTGGCCTGGTGAAAAGGAGTGACGTCTCCCAAATCCTAGAGCTGTTCCATCAAGGCTCCAATGAGTGTGGGAGGAGCAAGATCGGGCTTTTCTTGGATTCCACATTGAGGCGCTCACTCGCTTTTAGAGGGGGATCTGCGGCATAATTGAAAGGAAGGGAGCGACACATGCAACCACTCCCTCAAATCCTGAAGCGAAAGATCCGAAACCCTCAACCCCAAAACCTCGAGTCCCCAACCCGAAACCATATCGAGTTTCATGGTCGTTTGGGCACCTACTGCATCCCACGCACTCTCTGCATGTAGGTTCCCTCCGTCTTCGATGGAACACAGCAGTAGGACGACCACCAATCAAAGAACCGTGCAAAGGACGCAATCAGAACGATTATCGGTTTCGCGTACTATCTCTACCCTGAAATACAGCCCCCTCGGCCAGAACGCTTTGCAAAGTGCCCGGAGCAGAGCCTACATGAAGGTCTAAGCCATGGCTGGCTCCCGGTTCAAGGGTTCTTGGAACTGGGACTTGAAGAGTTTTGGGTCTTGAATGGTTCGAGCCCGCCCGCATGGAAGCTTGTTGTCCTTTCTTGCGAGCGGAGTTACAATGGCAAAATTCAGCCAAAGGCCCCAAAATGCCTCGGACACACCCAGAACTGAGGAGAATCCTGCTCTAAAAGTCTATGTAGACCCGCACGTAACCCCCCAAGGCCCTGAAACCCGAAAACCTGCAGAAGATGCAAACCTCAGGATGTGGCATCCGGGTCTCTACATTCGTAGGTTCCCAGATGCTGCAAGCCCTCGACGAACTCCTTCGAGCTCTGTCTGAGGGATCTAGGGTGGTGTATTCAGGCCTCGGGCAGACGTCAGGACAGGAGGTGTTGCGTCAATTGTATCTTGGGGGGTGTACGCAAATACATACATACGTATGTCCGTACATACATATATATATATATACACACATCCATAACTACATACATACCTGCACGCATACATGCAGACATGCACACATACATGCATTCCCAGACTCATACGTTCTCAGACATACATACATACAGACAGACAGGCAGGTAGGCAGACAGAAGGACGGACGAACAGGCAGGCAGGCAGGCAGACGGACAGACAAACAAAAAAACAAACATGCATGTGTAGTGTGCATCTGTGTATACATGTAAACACCTGCATGTACATCCACATCTGCATACATGTATACATACACGTACACATATGCCTGCGCATACGCAGACGCATACATTTATACTGAGCGCCGCAGAATTTGAGTATGCCTGGTGGTACATAATACCTTGTAGTGGCAAACAGATGGACACTTAACACGAAGGCAAAACTCAGTTTGAACGATTAGCATGCTACGTATATTTTCGTCTCGCGACTATATCTGGAGGAATAGTTGGACGACATCAATGTTGAGCGCACTTTAAACGAGTAGTGTGTGCGTGGCTTGGTAGCTTCAGGAGCTTCGTGCCTTGCCTTGCTAGAACTTTAGATTGGAAGCCGGCTCACACGTTCGGAAGGTATGCTCACGCAAGTTAAGGCAACTCCTGAAAAACACACCGAGCCCAATGGGCCGAGCGGAGCCTTTCCGATGATCCGACAGGTTTGGGGTTTCGGGTTTAGGGTGAGCTGCACGGACCTCCAAAGGTTCCGAAAGCCAAGCCCTGACCTGACCTAGGACCTTACCCGACACCACACCAACTCCCAAAGGGCACCCAACAAACTAAACAACGCTGAATGGAGCTCTAAACCCTAAACCCTAAACCCTAAATCCTAAACCCTAAAACGCCAACAGACGAAAACACCACTCTCCCTGAAACACGCGTCTATCTGGCCTTTGGTCCCAGAAGATCGCTTTGACGGTGAGCAGCGGCCTTGAAAAACCTGGGCTCGTTGGGGAAGGAGGGTGCAGGGTGTAAGGGCTAATTAGGGGCTAGCTTTGGGTTTGAGGTGCGCAAAACTATGAACATAGGGGCTTCCATAATTACCTATATTATTCTGGGGGTTCTTTAATATAAATTTACGATAAAGGACCCCAAAAGATTATTCTAATTATTAAGGCCCCTATATTAACCAGAAGCTCTCAATCCATTTCCCCTGAACCCCCAACCCCAAGACTGGATCCCCTAACACACGGTGCTATCTTTTCGGACAAGAGCTTTAGGCAGTTGTCCGCGTGCGGGTCTACCTTTGTAGAACACAGCTGTAAGTTTTAACTCCATAAGGCCCGTCATCCTGAAACACGGCTCTAGCCCCCAAATGACGAAAAAAGATGCATGGTTTTTTCATGGGGGCTTGACCCCAAGGCCTTTGCCATTCTGACAACCTGCAGCTCCCTGAAGCCCAAACCGCAGCCGGCCCTGGCCGCCAGAAAGCAGCCAGCTTTCCATCATGTAAGGCCCTAGCCGGATCAACGCCGAGTGCAGGGGAGGTGGCCCATGTCGCTGGCGGATCTCAGAGTCAGAGAACAAACTGTGATAGGGTTCTCAAGAGGTCCCTCAGGGCTGGGGCTGGAGGAGGTACTATAGTGGCCTTAATAATCCTATACTATTTTGGGGGCTCCTGATTATAGTTATAGTATTATATACCCAAAACCCTAATCTAATTATTAAGGCCCCTACATTATTGAGGGTTGCCGCGACCGCGACCAGTCGCAAACCCCTATGTACATCCTCGCAACGAAACACAACGGTTGATGGACAAAATCCTGCATGACCTTATGTACCTAAACTATGGGATATATGGTACTATACTATATTTGGGTCATGCAGAATTTTGTCCATCAGCAGAAGTACGTAAGCCTCAAACACTGAGACACCGGCCAGGTCGCCGATCCGGTATAGGGCCTGCCTTTGGAATTGGGCGAGCGGAGGTGCTCGGATTTGACACCCGTCCCTGCTTGAGTTAATATGGGAGTTTCAGAAAATTAGGGTACCTTATTTAGTTAGAGATGACCATTTCCATTTTCTAATCATGCACCTCCCCTTTTCGCCCTATTTGTGCAAATCATCACAACCTATACCTCAACCCCATACTCACCAAAAAACCCATACAATATTCCTAGCATGTAACCACCAAAACACCATACACCAACACCCCCATAGAAANNACCCATATTCCCCAACCCGAAATCCCCAACCTTAGAAAATGGAAATGGCCATCTCAAATAATTTTACAATATTAGTAATAAGGTTTTATGCAAAGGTTGTAACCAATCAAAATATCATTTCGTATATAATATTATGGTTGTTTAAGGCATAAATTTCCACGAACCCACTCCATCCCAGCTTGTTTGGAGTTGCCGTTTCATTTTATAATACAGTTCGTTTTGTTCAAAATTGGTTTTACCTTTTTCCTTAACTAGATAGATTAGGACTTCAACAAAAGCAAAAGCGTTATATTCCATTGTTTGGATGCCACCTATTGTATCAATTTCATCACCATTATTTTTTATTAGTTTAACATCATCAATATTTTCATAAATTTCTTTCATGTAGATATGATTAGCATATCCATATTTAGCGTCCATCATCAGGTAATGAAATTTAAGCTCCATATCGCCCATATGTTTCCACTCCTTCGCTTTACTTAAGATTAAGTCTGTCATAAACTCATAAGACGGATAAGGGTTTTTCTTAACGAATGCCTTAATTTTCTTCACATCTTTTTCGTCCATTTTCATCTTCATATATATAGTTGTTATTTCTTTAAACGCTTTTCTTTAGAAATTCTTTTCTTATGTCCTATCTACACGGATTTCAATAATTATCCTATCCTTGTTCTTACCAAATAAAATAAAATAATCTTCTAGAAACTCGTCGTTCATTAGTAATTCATGGATACAATTAAACACTTTATTTATATCAGGTTTAGGTTGCTCGGGCTCGGGATGTGGCTCTTCATCAACAAATTTATCAGGAAATTGTTCGTTTAAACGTTTCCGTATCATCCTT